GTGGTGGAGGGGTTTTCTCTTCTTTGCAAGACTTGATAGTTCAACTCTCCTAGCCTCCCGTTTTTTTGCTAGTCCCTGAATTTTATGTAGACTCTGGATCCTGCTTTGAGAGGTAGTGAAACAGCCTCTTTTTAAAGGAATACCTGGAAACGGACACCCAAGATTGTCTTTCATAAGGAAGTGCGGTGAAGGCATCAACCATCACTGAACCCTGCATGCTACAATACTTACCTGCATGGCAAGATATGCCCACCAAGGAAATAGTGACATGATAATGTGTGTGTGTGTGTGTGTGTGTGTGTGTGTGTGTGTGTGTGTAACCAATCAAGTAAGTTGAAAGTGACCTGGTAGGTCACTCCTGCGCAGTAGGTTTAACCTCTGGCTCCAGCCTCTTGCTGCTGCTTTGCAGCATCAGCCAACTCTTGAAAGAAGGGAGGGTCACATAGATTCTAGTTCAGCATCCAGCTAGTCTATCTGGGGCTCAGTGTAGACTTGCTTACTTACCAGGCAAATATTTGCTGCAGATGAAAGGGACTCTTTCTTTACAGTCTTGTTCTCCTCCTTGGCTTCCCTAACTACTGAAAGAACAAACACTAGCAGCTGGCTAGCCAGTAGGGGCCGTCTCCTTTCTTTGAGGACTTGAGTCAGTACCTCCGGAACAAATAAAGTATTTGAACAACCCTTTGGACACCATCAAGACGCTGTTGTTCATAGGTTATAAGTCAAATCACTCTAAGCCCCTGTTTTTCTCGTCTTTCTTTGGTTCATGACATCTTATTCCTTTTCCATATCATGTACTTTAGAATTTAAAATGGGCTTTGCTGTTGATGGTGCATACCTTTAATCCCAGTACTGGAGAGGCAGAGACAGCTCTGAGTTCAAGGTCAGCCATGCTACATAGTGAGACTGTCTCAAAAATAAGCAAATACATACACAAATAAATAATAGGCTTTAAACCAAGGGTTTAAATTAAGTATTTTTTTCCCCATTGGAACTTTTCTTTGCTATCTCATCCACCTCTTCCTCTTTAGCCTCCTTAAACACTGTCTTGTAAAGAACTTCTACCTCAGGCTGAGGTAGGAGAATGAGAAGTTTGGAAGTAGCCTGTCTTATGTATTAGCACAGTGTTTCAAAAGTGAAAAATAAGATTTTTTCTTATTAATAAGCTTTGAAGTATATTTTATGATTTTTTTGTTTTGTTTTTTTTTCATGAGATAGGGTTTTACTTCATAGCTCCAGCTGTCCTGGAACTCACTATGTAGATCAGGCTGACCTCAAACTCACTTAGCTCCGCCTACTTCTGCCTCCTGAGTGCTGGGATTTGTTTGTTTGTTTGTTTGTTTGTTTTTATTCTGCCTCCTGAGTGCTAGGATTTGGTTTTTTGTTTGTTTGTTTGTTTTTATTCTGCCTCCTGAGTGATGGGATTTGGTTTTTTGTTTGTTTGTTTGTTTTTAAGACAGTCTTGTTATGTAGTCCAGGCTGGTATGGAACTTTTATGTTTCCTAGTCTGTCCTTAAGCTTGTGGCTGAGATTATAGGAATGAATCACCATGCCTAGAAAATTATGTGATTATTGATGTTGCTGTTATAAATAAAAAGTAGCCACAAGTTGGACCCTCAGAAAGTTTCTTTCTCAACCAAAAAAAAAAAAAAAACCAAAAACCTCACCTACCTTTAATTCCAGTAGTTGAGAGGCAGAGACAGGGGAATCTCTGAGTTTGAAACAGAGTGAGTTCCAGGACAGTGAAAGCTACACAGAGGAACTCTAGACCTTGTCTCAAAAACAAAGAACAACAAAAAAACAAAACAAAAAAAAATAAGAAAAAGTCTCTATTTCTGTGCAGTTTCCTCATTTAAATGTAAAAATGTGGTGGGCTTAGTATTTTGAGTTGACTCAGCAATTAAAAGCACTTGCTGCTCTTCAGAAGACCTGGGTTTGATTCCCAGCACCCACATGGCAGCTCATAGTCATCTATAAACCCCAGTTCCAGCGGATCTGATGTGTTCATCTAACCTACTCGGGTAACAGGCACACATATGGTACATATACATACCTGCAGGCAGAACACTCATACACATTAAATAACAAATAAATCTAAAATGTTAATAACTAATATTGTTTAAACTCATTTTGAGCTGACTGTAGATTCCTGCATGATTTTAAGACTAATAAGAGAAATTAGGTGGAGGAGACCCTTCACTTGGTTTCTCCAGGAACAGCACTTTGCCTTCTGGGCTGTATATAAGCAGGAAGTTGTCAGCAGTCAAGTTTGGGATGTTGTTCAGATTGCCTAGCTGTTTGAGCCCCAGGTGAGTAAGTGTGTATAGCATCTTTGCCCTCATCCGTTCCAGGCCTGTCTGGCTATTAAAATCCCTTCTGCTCCTTTTAGCAGCCATTGCCACCACCTCCTGCTGGTATCCTAATGACCACTCCTCCAACTGGCATTCCTGTCACACTGTCATTTTGAGAACGCTAAGTGGACTTTACATCTTTTTGCCTTTGGAGAATCTCTCCAGTCAGTGTTTCTATCCAAGCTGTTGTATGTGGCTGTTCAATATCACATTACAAAAAGCCAGAGTGTCTTTCCATTTAATTATTATCAGTATTGCTTTTTGGGGGGAAATACACTCTTCTTATGTGGCCTCAGCTGTCCTAAAACTTTCTGTATAGTCCATAGTGACCTTGAACTCCTTCTGCCTTAGCAGAACTCCTGAGTATTGGGATTACAAGTATACACCATCACACCTGCCATCAAAATGTCTTTTTAGTAATTAAAAATAACAAAAAAACTAAAAATGTTTACTAATTTACTCAACTAAAAAAATACTGTAATTTAGTAGTTCATAGGATTTTTAAAGCATATTTCAAAGTATATAAAAGGTGTCATATGTATTTTAAGGTTACCTAGATAATTTCAATATCGTGTTTGTTATAAGTATCTCTTATGAAAAATATTACTGTTCTCACAACTGAATCCTCATAACTTGTCATAAAAATTAGCTCTCTCCTATGCGAGCTGGAAGGATAACCAATTTCAGGAACCTGGCTGAGGAAGGAAGCAGAATGAGTGTAATATGCCATTCTCACAGACAGTTTTCCTGAAGCATGAGATCTATAAAATAATCACATTTGGGGCTGGAGAGATGGCTCAGAGGTTAAGAACACTGGCTGTTATTCCAGAGGTCCTGAGTTCAATTCCCAGCAACCACATGGTGGCTCACAACCATTCGTTATGAGACCTGGTTCCCTCTTCTGGTGTTCAGATACATACATGGAAGCAAAATGATGGAGAGCTTTGTAGGGGTGAGTGATGAGAGCATGATCAAGGGTCCCAAGTTCCTGCCCTAGTTCTGGAGAAGCCCCTTGGGAACAGGAGAAGGGAAGCGACTGCAGGAGGCATAAAGGTTACAGATCCGGTTTAATGCCATGTAGTAGGAAATAGCGTGCTTTTGAACTGGTAACCCGTGTGGGTAAAGTTGTGTTGACACAGGCACAAAGTAAAGCTACTGCAGCAGTCATTTCTTTCTCCATGCATCCCTAGCCAGCCTGAGCAGCCACACCTCTCAAGCCCTGCTGAAATAGAACAGTTTGCTTTCAACCAGAATCCAGTCTTGGTGATTCTGATTGTTATTCTGACCATAGTGGCTCTCCTCTGGCTTAACAGTGCACTGACTAGTTTTATGTCAACTTGATCCAAGCTGAAATCATCTTAGAGGTGGGAGCCTCAATTAAGAAAATGCCTTCATAAGACTGGGTTGTAGGGAAGCCTGTAGGAGATATTCTTAGTGATTGATAGGGGAAGTTCCAGCCCATTGTGGGTGTGGCTACCCCTAGGCGTGTAGTCCTGGGTTCTATAAGAAAGCAGACTGAGCTAGCCATGAGGAACAAGCCAGTAAGCAGCATCCTCCATGGCCTCTGCATCAGCTCCTGCCTCCAGGTTCCTGTCCTGTTTGAGTTCTTTCAGTGATGAACAGTGATTTAGAAGTACAAGCCAGATAAACTCCTTCCTGCACAAACTTCTTTGGTCATGGCGTTTTAAGAGAAACAATGTACTTTTAGAATCCACATGGTGAAGCACCTGCATGTAGTAGCCCTCAGTAATTGCCTGGGTTCTGGGATTTTTGAGCTCTCATGTTTTGTTTTTTTGTTTGCTTGTTTTCTGAGACAGGGTTCCTCTGTGTAGCCTGGCTGTCCTGGAACTCTGTAGACCAGGCTGGCCTTGAACTCAGAGATCCAACTTCTCATTTTTGTTTTTTTGTTAGCCTGTCTCCGTTGGCTTTACTGCCTGGATTTGTCAGGATGCAGTCTCTAGAAATGCCACCTTTTGTTTTTATTACATCTAGCCTGCTTTGTCTGGAAAATCCTTGGGTTAGCAGTGAATGGATATATTTTAGGAGGCAGATTCCCAGGGAGATGAAATGCTGGTGTGTTTGTGGATAGAGAGGTCTTATAGACATGATGGTCAGTTGGAGGTTCTGTTCAGAGATTAGGTGGCATATATCAGTGTTTTACGGTTTCTTTTGAGTGACAAATTGTGTAGAAGGGCAATATTTGGTTTTCTCTGTGGGCATAACTCCTTGTGACCAGGAGTCCAGTTCAGCCAATTCCATGGGTAACTCCTGTCTCTGTGGGCATAACTCCTTGTGGGGTTCATGTTCAACCGATTCCAAGGGTAACTCCTAGAGTTTAACTCACTGGATCTCTCTAATCATTGTTTCTTCTTTGGTCTGTTTTTCAGCCTCCAAGGTCACTCTTTCTCAGTGACTTACTGAGCACTGCAGCTACCAACTTCTAAAGCACTACTCTCACATGCCCCGGGCAGTGTCTTCTAGTCATCTCAGCTACAGCTGGCACCAAGACTTTCCTCACACCCCAAGACGAGACATCAAAAACCAGGTTCTCTGCTCTTCTTGCCAAGCACTGACATGTTTGTGTTAGGTCTCCCTTCAAAGGAAAAGAGAATGAGCCTGAATTTCAGTCGTGGATAAGGTTTGAACATTTCATCAAGTCCTAGAATTCCTGGCATGATCAGAGTCTTTTGAATTTTTTTGCTTGTTTTTTTGAGACAGGGTTTCTCTGTGTAGCTTTGGCGCCTGTCCTGGTACTTGCTTTGGCCTCAAACTCACACAGATCCGCCTGCCTCTGCCTCTCAAGTGCTGGGTGGGACTAAAGGTGTGCACCACCACCATCCAGCCTCTTGTGAATATTTTTAATCCTCCTGTCTTCCTTCATTAACTGTGGCTGGCTTTGAAAAATTGGCAGTACTCCAAAAGGAACTGGAAAGCAAACAAAGTGGCTGAGCATAGCACTCAGAGACTCAGAAGACAGTGGCTTCCCATGTGATAGGAAAGTTGGTCCCCCCCCCCTACTTTTTGGTTTGCTTGTTTGTTTTTTGAGACAGGGTTTCTCTGTGTAGTCCTGGCTGTCTTGGAACTCAATCTGTAGACCAGGCTGGCCTCAATTTCACAAAGATCTGCCTGCCCCTGCCTCCCGAGTGCTGGGATGAAAGGTGTGCGCCGACACCGCCCAGCAGCATGTGGCTCCTCGTAAGTAGAATAGTTTTTCTCTTTCACACAAAGTCAGTTTATGACACTATGTGTGATTTACTGTTTTAATTGTTGGGTTGTTTTGAGACAAGACATTATGTGGCATAGGCTGGCCTTGAACACTCAATCCACTTTCTTTTTCCCTCTCCTAAGTCCTGGGCTTGCAGGCATGTGACATTATGCCTGGAGAGGCTATTCTTTGAACTTTAAAAAAATTGTCTCTAAAGGCAGACGAAATTCCTTTACTCTCCACCTATGATTCTTTCATATTCAGTATCGGATTGTAATCTGAATACACAGGTTCAGAAGTTGATGCAATGTCATTTGTTTTTCAGCTGAGAATGTGTGTGTAAAATGCAAGCTGGATGTAGCAGAAGACTCTGTATCCTGCCCCTTGTCCTTGGACCATGAAGGTCCTGGATGAGAGTCTTTTCTGGATGCTGCTTCCTTTCTTCCACTTGATAGCCAGTGCCGCTGAGCATGAGGAGGTAGCAAAGCATGCCATCAAGTTACACCGAGGGAAGGGTGCCACTGCCACTCAGAGGAAGCAGTGGGTCCTAGACAGCTGCAGGAGGCTCACTGGGCTCCTGCGGCAGAAGAACGTTGTCCTGAACAAACTGAAGAATGCCATCAGGGCTGTGGAGAAGGACGCCAGCCTGTCGGGGGAAGAGAAGCTCTTCCAGGTGCACACATTTGAAATTTTCCAGAAAGAACTGAATGAAAGTGAAAATTCAGTCTTCCAGGCCATCTACGGATTGCAGAGAGCCCTGCAGGGGGATTACAGAGATGTGGTCAACATGAAAGAGAGCAGCAAGCAACGTCTAGAGGCTCTGAGGGAGGCTGCCATTAAGGTCAGCCACCAGTCTGGGGTGGGGTGGGATGGGGAGTGGGGGAACAGGACCTGCTCTGTCTAGGGGTCTGTCAGGGGATGGGAGTTGGGGTGCAGTGACACACAAAATTAGGAAGACTGGCTGGAGGGAGTACCTTTCTCGCAGCTTGTTTGTGCCATCATTGCTTCTAGGAGGCACCTACCCATGTCATATGAATCCTGGTACTCAACTCAAATTGAGTAGGATTGGATTGTACTCCACCTGTTAACTCAGAAAGTAGATAAGTATCTGTGTGCATCTGTGCTTCATGCATGGCAGCACAATGCCTTGCATCATTGCTGTGCTCAGCACATGGTTTCATGGTAGCAGAGGACCTTCATGGGTGGTGAGCAAGCAGTAAGTTCCTTTCCTCTTTGCTATGTTTTCATGTTGCTGGCCCTGCACATTTTGCTAAGTTGAGCAAAATGTTTAGGATGCTTGACTCCCTCTGCTGGTTAGAGTTAGAGTTGCACCTGTAGAAATGGCCCATTGACCTAGAAAACTTCTAGGTCTACTCCAGATCAGAGCTTTTGGTGGACGTGAGGAAGTCATATCCTGGTGTGACCCTTACCAGTCTTCATTTCTTGCAAATCATTAGGAAGAGACAGAGTATGTAGAACTTCTTGCTGCAGAAAAACACCAAGTGGAAGCCCTTAAAAACATGCAGCATCAAAACAAGAGTCTATCCATGCTTGACGAGATCCTTGAAGACGTAAGGAAAGCTGCGGACCGTTTGGAGGAAGAGATAGAGGAGCATGCCTTCGATGACAATAAATCAGTAAGCATCTCTGCAGAGTGACTCCTCCTCCACCTGCTAAGCCATTCTGATGAGCATGGGCCCTGGCATGCTCAAGATGTTCACATATTTGTCTGAGGATACACTAATCGAAACTAATATGATGTGTCCTTAGAAGTGAGCTAGCTATTCTGCAACAGTTACAACAATTGTTGTAATCTCTTGCAACAATTGCAGTCACTCCTGGATGAATGGCTTATCTCACATCCTAGCTCTGCCACTCAGATTGGGTCAGGACTCTAGACTCAGGATTTGGGGTGGTTGAGTTTCAGTGCTTATCTATTTCGGCATCTGTTAAATTCTGCAAAAGACAGACTTATAGCAGAAATAGGACCAAGGTTTCTCATTTGTCCAATGTTGAGATTGTAAGGGTAAATTCATACTGATGTCAAGAATTGTGGGTCTTGGGTGGACCTATAAATGGTTACAGAGTAAAAACAAATCAGAGTAAACACAGAAGTGTGTGGAGAGAAAAGAAGGTGGGAGGGAAAGGGGCTGCTTAATTCATTCTGGGTTCTCCTAACTATTCCTAGAGCTGTAAACATTTGAAAGACTATACCATAAATCAAATAAAGTAGATGTTCAGAAGTAGCATAAGTCCTATATTTTACCTCTAAATTCTTCAGTTGAAAAATTCCCTAATTCTGGCTAATGGGTACTATTGGGTTTGTTTGTTTGAAGTACTGGGTATTGAACCCAGGGCTGTGCACCTTGCTGGTTAAGTGCTATACCCCTGGACTACACACCCAGCCTTCTTCTCGATTTTATTATTATGAGATGGGATCTTGCCAAGTTGCTATGCTACCCTTGAGTTCACTTTGGAGTCCAGGTAGGTCTTGAACTTGGGATCCTTGTGCCTTACCTTCATGAGCTGGGATTACAGACCCGGGCTCCAGACTTACATCACTGATCTTTTTGTCACAGGACACTCTTTCAGTTACTCTTTCAGTCTTTAGTCTTTGAATGTTGATGTAAAAGCATTTAATTCTAATTGTATTACATTGGTTGTGCTCCCAGGTCAAAGGAGTCAACTTTGAGGCAGTTCTGAGAGTGGAGGAAGAGGAGGCCAGTTCCAAGCAGAATATCACAAAGCGGGAAGTGGAGGATGGCCTGGGCCTCAGCATGCTTATCGACTCCCAGAATAACCAGTATATTCTGACAAAGCCCCGAGATTCAACTATCCCACGTGCAGACCACCACTTCATAAAGGCAAGCCGGAGCCACCAGCCTGGGGCTGGCCAGCGAGGTCGAGCTGTCTCCTGCCTCAGACCAGATGCCACCCTTCTTGCTGTTAGAGGCTCTGCTGGAACATTCACATCTGTTCTTTCCAAAGCCTTCCTTGTCTTGCTTTAATTTGTTGAGATAGGCTGTTACTATGAAGCCAGGGCTGGCCTGGAACTCACCATGTAGTGCAGTTTGGCCTTAAATTCTCAGCAGTCCTCCTGCCTTAGCCTCCTGAGTGCTGGGATTACAGGCAGACAGCACCACATTTGAGTTTTAAACAGCCTTTCTTGATGGGCAGAGAAGACAGGATGCCCAACGGCTTCCCCCAGGTGCTAATTCTGACTGAGAACCAAGCTCACCAAGCTCACGACAGGTGCTGCTGTCCATGGTTATGACTAAAATAGGTCTAAGAGCTGATTCTGTAGCTGACACCATCAGTACCCTCCATGGAGGTCGGGGCTCCTCTGAAAAGTTCTCTCCCCCTCCTTTTGTGATAGATAAATAATTCCTATGAAATACTGGAGGCTGGATTAAATACCCTGTTCCAAGTCTCACTCACCTTGGGGTTTCAGCACCATGCCGGATTTTACTGTATTAGTTATTGGATGGTGAGAAATCCAACCGTGAAGGTATCATGAATTAGCATGTGAGCTCTTCGGACCCTGGAACCAGAACACTCAATGGAATTCACATGTTCAGAGGCCATAGAATTTTTTTTTTCTTTTTAGACAGGTTGAACAAACAGACAAACCCTTTTCTTGAACTTCATCTCTTAGAATACAGTTTGCTAAGGTCCTCAACGTCCATGTGAGACAAAGCAGTAGTGAGAGTTCTCCCTCTGACTTTCATCACTAACTTTTTGTTCTCATGAGATGAAACTATGGACCTCTGTCCCGTTCCTCCCTCACAGTTAACCACTATATGTTTATCATTTTCTTCTTTCTGTGTTAGGACATCGTGACCATAGGAATGCTATCCTTACCTTGTGGTTGGCTGTGTACAACAATAGGATTGCCCACGATGTTTGGGTATATAATTTGTGGTGTGCTTCTGGGGCCTTCAGGACTGAACAGTATTAAGGTGAGAATAATTCTGTTTCAGTGTCTAACAAGATGCAAAAGAAGCATGAATGAAGACGAAACCCGATTTGAGCTTGAGTCAGTAAAGATACCAGTCAAAGATGCCCTTGATGCATTCTTTAGCCCAAGGGGAATATTGCATTTCTTGATGCATGGTGGCTTGATGACAGACTGTCTGTCACTTTAAATTATATATTAATATTAAAAATTGCATTTCTGCTGATATGATGGCCTGGATCGTCCAGACCAACATTTAGACAGTAAATCAACTGGAAATGTTGGTCTTGGTGTAATTGTATGCAGCTCCTGTGGTTTGGAGAGTTAACTGAAGTCACAGTCTCAAGAGGCAGTAGAGTTCAAGGCTTCATCTGTGGGACAGGGTGACGATCCCTGCTATATGGAAATAAATACTTCCAGCAGGAGAGAAGGGGTTCCTGGGTATTTCCAAGTATGTCTCTTAAGTATACTTAGGGGGGCAGTGGGAAGAGGATGTTCAGATAACAGAGATCACTGTTAGGTCAGAGTGACTGGGCCACACAACCCCTGGGTACTGGGAGCACTCAAATCAGCTGTACCGTGAGAAGGGGATTCGACTGGGAGTAAAGATCCAAGAGTATCCTAGCTAAAAGTGCTGTAAGTTTATCGTGAGGGAACAACCCCGGAGAGCACAGGACAAGCCTCAGAACTCTCCTCATGTCACTGAGATACTAAGGGGATAGAAGGAAGCCATGCTCAGGAGACCCTAGGGTTCTCTAGTCCACAGTTCTTGAACTAGGTTGGAGGAGCTCAGTGACTTTCCTGGGCTGAAGTCTGACAACCACAGGAGACTGATCATAACAGCAAAGGATCTTTGGCCAGAAAACAGGGCTGTCTGCCTAGCCTGCTCAGGCTCCAAGTCTGGTGCCTTCCAGGAAGAAGTTAACCTGATTCGAAGGCAGCCATCCATCCCAGGAGGGTCTCAAAGGCTTCACAGCAGTGAACTGTGCTCCAGGTTCATATCCTGTGCAGATCTTTTCAGGACTTGGACCGGCATAATAAGATTAAGGAGGCAATGCCCTTGCCCGTCTAGAGTATGGAGGGTAAAAGCAGGCACTCAGGAACAGAGATCACTGTTAGGTCAGAGTGACTGGGCCACACAACCCCTGGGTACTGGGAGCACTCAAATCAGCTGTACCATGAGAAGGGGATTCGACTGGGAGTAAAGATCCAAGAGTATCCTAGCTAAAAGTGAGACGTGGTCAGGAGAATCAAAACAGTAACCTTTCCCTGCAGGAACTTGATAGACTTTCATTACCAAGTTGAGAAATGGAGATTTAAGTATATTGTTTTGGCATCATAGCGATGATCTGACCAAGAAAAGGGAAGAGAAATGTAAGGAAAATAGAATTAAAGTAAGGAAGCATAAAAACAAGATGATGTCAAGGAAATAACACCTGGTATAACAGTAAGTGGAACAAGTTTCCATGTTGAAAGATAGACTTAATGACGGTATCCGAACAAAAGTATGTGGTAAAAGTAGAGCAGTAAGAAAGTTGAAGGTGAAAGGTGCAGATAAACATAGAACAAGATCCTGCAAACTTAGTTCATGCTGGGTTCGGGATAGCACGGGGACTCAGGGACACCCGTACCAACCGAACGAACACTTTAAAAAATTGAAACCTAAACATATTGTCCTGTTTCTTTTCATTTAATATGACAGTATTAAGGACAAATGATGAGTTAAAAGGGCTATATATGAAACCTTACATAACAAAACCTCTGGGGTGTGGCCAAATGTGAAAGTTCACCTCATGAGAAAAACTAGCCTACTTAGAAATGCTTGTAGTCAGTGTGAATTGGTCTTAAGATCAGCTTTGGTGTCTTTTCCTTGTTCGGAGGTGGGGGGGGATAGGGGGTGGGGAGTTAAGTGTGGTAGGGGTGAGGAGAGGAGTAATGAGGACAGACGTGGCCATGTATTTGAAAGTTGGTATTTGAACCCCCACAGCTGCTTCTCAATAGAAACTGTAATGAAAATAATGAAAATAATAGAAACTGTAATGAAAATAAATATTCCTCTGGCAAATTAAGAAAGAGAGAGAGAGTGTGTGTGTGTGTGTGTATACAGTCAGGAAGTCAAAAAGAGCTCAGATATAAGGGAAAGCCACTGAATTTATTTATTTTTTAAGAACATACTGGTCTTTTGCGGGGGTGGAGGACAAGGGACTGTCTCTCTATATATCAGCTTGTATTTTTTGTCAATGTATGGTAAGTAAATAAAACATTCAGTAATAAGCTTCCTTCTTTTCCAGTCCATTGTGCAGGTGGAGACGCTGGGAGAATTTGGGGTCTTCTTCACCCTGTTTCTTGTTGGCCTGGAGTTTTCTCCAGAGAAGCTGAGGAAGGTAAGGACCCAGGCCTTCTGCCACTGCCTGGGAGCAACTTGATTTACTTAATTTTTTTTTTTTAAACTCACAGAGCATCCACTTGGCTATTTAGTGATTCTTGTTTGTTAGTTTTAAAACTAGTTTATTAAAAATAACAATTAAAAATAAATAAATTTTATTAAAAATAAGTAAATTTTAATTTAGTTTGATACTTTTTTTGAAAATGAATTTTAAAAAGTCAAAACTTAGTAAGTGGGATGAATATTCCTATGATTTCATATGGGTCCCTCTAAGAAAATGTGCAACTGAGGGTAAAATATGATAGAGATTGACTATTCAGTGTATTTCTCTAGAAGAAAGTTCCTAAGATAGAAAATGAATCAGAGATTTTTCTTTTACCTCAAACATGAGGAAACTAACTTCTTAAAGATTGAAGATGTTGGGGAATAAAATGAATACTATCGGAAGCTGGGCATGGTGGGACGTACCTACAGTCCTAGTACTTGGGAAGTGGAGGTCCTTGGGCTTGCTGGTCAGTTAATCTACCCTAATTGGCAGCCTCCAGGCCAGGGACAGACCCTGTCTCCAAAAGGTGGACAGACAGTACAAGGAATGACACTTGAGTTTGTCCTCTGGTCCATGCTTATATGTGGTGTGCACCTGCACAAATTTACCAACAAAGGAGTTTTAACTCCTCATGGTAACAAGTTTAAGAAATGTTGGTGGTAGGTATGGTGGGGCATGCATTTAACCCCAGCACTCAGGAGGCAGGAGCAGATGGATCTCTGTGAGTTCAAGACTAGCCTGTTCAACTTAGTAAGTTCCAGGCCAGTCAGAACTGCATAGTGAGACCCTGTCTCAAAACAACAAGAAAAGTTGAACAAAACAGGACTTTTTGGGGGGCTGGTGAGATGGTGCAGCATGTAAAAGGTGCTTGCTACCAATCCTGACCATCAGACTTTGAGCTCCAGGACCCACATTGTGGAAGAAGATCAACTCCTACAAGTTGTCCTCTGACCTATGTAGGCAGGCGGTGGTACCTTCCCACAAATCAATCAGTAACTGTTGAAAGAATGTTGTCAATAATCTGAGTAACTAATGGTTGAGTGGTAGCCTAACTGCCTGATGGAATGTGATGTAGCCACTAAACTACAAAAGGATAGAAACAAAGGAAAGCATTTGTTCCAGCACTAACCTTAAACAAAATTGAGGGGCTGGTGAGCTGGCTCAGTAGTTGAAGCACTTCCTGCCCTTGCAGAAGACCTGCATTCAATGCCAAGCAGCCATATCAGGCGGCTCATGGGCTTGGAGTCACCTGTAGGAGGATCCAGCGTAGAGTGCAGGTGCACTCATGTGCACACACCCCCACACAGACACACATCATTAAAATAAACAAACATTTAAAAGAAAGAAATGAAACAGTGTACAGTAGTACGAACCTGTAATCCTAGCTACTTGGGAGGCCGAAATGGGAGGGTTCTAGCTTGAGCTTCATATAGTCAGACCCAATATGGGGGGGGGGGAAGCATATTACATGATAATAGCATTTTAAAGAGGCAAGCACACACAAGGAGACAATAGGGAATAGCCAAGGTCACAGAAGCTGCTCAGGTGATCTGTGGGTATAATGATAAGTCATTAGGAGACAGTTTAATGCCGTGTCCATTTAACAGAGTAGCTGTAGTAGGTTCTCCCCTAGAGCCTATGTACTGTCTAGCCACAGGTTCTTGGCTCAGAAATAGTGCCCGGTTTGGATTTCATCTTATGGAATGGGGCTTGAGTCCAATGAGAAGGTGATTGGTTGCTCCTATCATGTTCATACCACTGTTGTGCCAGAGGGCGTGTCTTGCTAACCCAGTCATTGTTGTGGTTTGCATGATTCATAGTCGTTTATGATTAATGATTACTTTTCTCCTCCAGTAGCTTGTATAGCACGTTCTGACACCATGAAAGCTAGCCAGGATTTTGGATTTTTGTTGTTGTTGGTTGAGATTCCCCTATAGTCTCTTGATAGAACCTGATATTCACTATGTAACCCAGGGTAGCCTTGACATTGTGGCAGTCTTCTGCCTCTGCTTCCCATGTACTGGAATTATAAATGCGTGCCACCACTCCTAGCTACCTGTTTTGTTTTGTTTTTTTAAACCTTACTGCAAGCTCTGTTAATCTGTGGTCTCACTGTTTGAGACTGATGTCTCAAGATATGCTTCTTCTTGAGGAGTTCTGAACTGTGTTAGTGCCATCTTCCAGGGACTTTGGTCTCTTCATGTGCTTCTTGCATCACAGATGTTATTGTCTAAACTCACAACCACTCTTTTAGATTCTAAATAAAAACCAGCCTCATTTTTCCTCTGCATTCTCTTGCAGAGTATGGGGTAGGGAGGGAATAAGCTTGGGTAGATGGAATTTCTGGGGTGCCCTGCTTTGCTTTGTTAGAGTAAGCCAGGACCAGCCATCGCAGGTCCATCTTGGGCATGCATCATGGAAACATGTGACCTCTGTTTCCAAGTACAGTGGCTGGTTTGGGATTTTATAATTAGAGACATTCAGTGCAAACAGTGATTCATGGAAAGCAAGGCAGGTAAAATTCTGTTTCTCTATGAGCAACAAGACCTTCAGCAGGGTTCTGACCCTTCTTGGACTTCAATTTGGGATATCATCTGTATAGTAGAATTTTATTAATGTTTCCTGGTTTTCATAATTAATTTTTTTTCTGTAGTGTTTAAGGGTTGATGGTGAAATGACGATCTGTGACGTATTGCTAACATCATAATTAATTGTAAGCAATTCTAGTTCTGGTTAGCACTGTCTGGGGGCTCTTGCTCTGTCAAGTGAGTATATTGTGGGTGATTGAGCAGAGGGTGCACCTGATGAAGGAGAAGAATGTTGGACAGAGACCCACATTTTCTTGAGTTCTGGTTGGCCTTCATTGAGTGGCCCTGCACAGCTCTCCTCGTCTCTGTGCTGGGAGCTCTAGACCTAAACATGCGCCTTGGCTCTGCAGCTTCATTTCCAAGATACAGCTTGTTATTGTTGCAGTTCCTGGTTTGGAATGTAGAAGATCAGTATTGATTTAGCAAACCACAGTAGTCAGTACTTTTTCATCTTCCCAACTTCTCATGAAGCTATAAATGACAGCGGTTCAGGACAGCCTAGAATAAGGAGAGTGAGCAGTTCACACTCTAGTGAGCAGTAGATCTTTTCCATGTAGGCAGCTTATGTTTGGTAGAAAACATCTGATAGTGTTTTCCAAAATGGTAGTAATTGCTGGGTGCCCTCTCAGGACTCTGAATCCTCAGAAGGGCTGATTAGAAACAGTCGAAGTTCCTGGAGCTTCCTAGCATGGCAGAAAACACAGTCTCCCTATCCTGAGTGCCCATCCCTGCTGACTGCTTAGTCTGGTTTCTTGGACCTGCCAGGACCTTCCTTGACATCCTGCTTTTAAATTGACTTAAATTGTTCTCTTTGTTCTGAGACACTGTGTAGTTAAAACTGGCCTCAAACTCACAGATCCTCCTACCTCACCCTCCCTGGTGCTGGAATTAGAGGCATACACTACTGTACCTGTCTTTGGACCTTTTTTTTTTTTAATCTTAAGTTCATCAGTTTCTATCTCTTTCTGAATAAATGATGAGTCATGGGGATCTAGAGTAATTTTCTCCTCTTGCCTTTTTTCTGCTCTTCTAGTAGGTTCTTGTTGTGTACCTGTTGTGTTCAGCCCCTTAGCAGCTGTGGGTACAGTGCATCACGCTCTGCCCTGTTGTTTGACTTTAGGGTTTCAGAAGAACATGCTTTGGGAAAGAAGAAACAGAAACCTAAGATACCTGTGAGGCTGGTACTCAACTGTCTGGGGATTAGAGCGATTGTGGGAAGTTTGCCAGTATGAGCTTCCTAATTCTTCTTTGTAGGAATCACCTGGGGATAAAGCCCATATGGTCTGACCCAGGATGACCTGTAGGCTGCATTCAAATGCATCCTGTGTCCCATGCTGACTGGGAACTTCCGACTGAACTTACTTGTACCTGAGTCTTTCCATGAGCTGTATAGTGTAAACCCTCACCACCACCACCACCCTCCACATGCTGGAGAAGTGCTAGAGAGAGTCTACTCTCACCAGGACCCCAGAGTCTGTCTGTCTCAGAGATCATTTGTTCCTCTGTCCAGATGTGGAAACTCAAGCTGTAGACTCTGTTACCTGAGTTCATGGCTGGTGATTGACAGAAGCAATCTTAGACTCCAGGCCCTCTGAGGGTTGGTGAGACTGTTTAAAAAGAAGTGCCGACCTTGCTCAAAGGAGTAACTGCCCCACATTCATGAGCCTGAACTGCTGAGTTGGCTTCCTAAGGGGCTGCATGAGATGCAGCCCAGGGCACTCCCACTGTGTGTGGCAGGAATGTTAAGGAGTGAGTTAGTCCAGAATACCATTGTGACCATCAAGTACAGGACTGGAGAGAGAGGGCTCTGAGCATTAGGGACCAGCCTCTGTGGAGCTGAGCTACATAGCAGAGGAGACCAAGCAGCTCTTGCACCCAGTCATCTGTCATTGGCCTCCTTGGTGATCACACATCTATATGTGGGCTTCTTTGGAAATCTCAGAGACATTTATGTCTGCATCAGCCCAGCAAGTTGGTGCTGTGCATTTTGGGAGGTCAGGTGAGTGCTCACTTGACTGTAGTAGGAAATTTAGGAGCATCTCCCCACCTTTCCAGTTCCAGAAGAATGAAATTGTTACCCTAGGAATAGAGCAGGGATGGAGAGTCACAGGCTGCAAAGCATCCGAAGGGGAGCCATAGGAGGCTAGCTCTGTATAAAGCCTCTATTGGAGTCTGCCTTATGGCTCCACATGAGGCAGAGGCAAGAGGATCTCCTCTGTAGGCAAACCAGCTCTACAGAATGAGTGTCAGACAGCCAGGTCTACAGAGTGAGTTCCAGGACAACCAGAGCTACACAGAGAAGCCCTATCTCTAAAAACCAAACAAAAATGTCTATACACACCCTGGAGGGGACAGAGAAGTCATGTATATAAATGACCCATAGTCAGTCTTCCATAGTGTGTGTTCTGCACCCATGGATTCAACCAACTGCAAAATGAAGATATTTAGAAACAGATTATTTCTGTACTAAGTGTTCAACAGATTTATTTTTGTCATTAATCCTCTAATTAATACTATATGAGCATTTGCATATCATTTATATTGTATTAAGTCTTATAAGTCATCTAGAGATGATTTAAAGTCTACAGGAAGATGTAGATGTTACACATTCTTAATAGGAAGATTTGAGCTGGAGAGATGACTCAGTAGTTAAGAGCACTGGCTGCTTCTTTAGAGGACCAGGTTCAATTCTCAGCATCCACATTGCAGCTCATTACCTTCTGTAACTTCATTTTCAAGGGACCTGACATGCTCCGTGGGAATCAGGCATGAATGTGGTGCACTGACAAACATGCAGACAGAATACCCATACACATAAAAATAAATAAATACAACTTAAAAATAAAAGATTGGAGCATCGGAGGTATCTGGTGGGGGTAAGGGGGTTATAACCAATCTCCAGTGATACTATGAGATGATCATACTTGGTGTCTGTGTCTGAGTGTGTTACAGCCTGGGATGTGTGTTTATTATGCTTGGGTGTGTAGTCTCTGGGTTCCTTCCTGAAATATCAGTTCTCTGCTCCAAGGCTCCAGTTCAGAGATGGCCTGTTGTCCCTGGAATGTGTTTGAATCTGTGTGTTCTTTTCAAGGTGTGGAGGATATCTTTACAAGGACCTTGTTATATGACACTACTGATGATTGCCTTTGGCTTGTGGTGGGGACACCTCCTGCGGATCAGACCCACTCAGAGCGTCTTCATTTCCACCTGTTTGTCCTTATCAAGCACACCCCTGGTGTCCAGGTTCCTCATGGGCAGTGCCCGGGGTGATAAAGAAGGTAGGTAAGCAGCATGCTCTAAGTATGTGTGTAGCTAATGTCCGTGTGTGGCTCACCTGCCGACTCATGACTGGAGGCCTGTAAGGGGAAACTGTTAAGTCCTCCTTCACAGGGCTGTCCAGCTTTAATGGCTCCTCGGGTACATGTTCAACACTTCAAGGGACTGTCCTGCTGCGTTCAGTGCCTCCAGGCTTCCACTTCTCTGCTGGGTTAAAAGGAACACCCATCGTGTGTCGTGTGCTTAGCATCCTTAGAGAGCTGGAAAGGAGTCAGACCAAGATCAGAAGGCTGGACAGCACAGCTTGTGGAGGCTGTGGAGATGGCAGCTTGTCGAAGAGGCCAGTGTTACTGTTGGTTTGTTTAGTTATGGCAGTACTAGGAGCTAACACAACTGGTGAATTTTTCTGTAAAACCAGAGCGCTTTGGCAATGACGAAACTACCAGCTCTTGTTCTTGGCTTGGTTTGTTCTGTGTGTGTGAACTGTTGTCATCTCAGAGTCATTGCTTGGTGTGGTGAGACAAGCAGCAGTCACAAGTGGCCTTATCATCAAGCTCTGCGTCTTTGGCATAATTAACATTTTCACATACACTTGGTCATGGGGTGAAGGTAAAACACAAGGCCAAAATGTCATAGTAACGCCACATTGATTCCTTGAACACATCTGGAATAGAAGAGGAAATGTAAAAAGAAAACCAAGAAGACATGGCTAATTCCTCTAGTGAGATTGGAAGTGTTGTGCTGGTCACAGAAAGCAGTGTGGGACAGTGGGTGGACCCACCCCCCAGCCTCCTGAACTCTAAGCTGGGTGGAGCTCTGTAGTCCCGCCAGAACCGTCCCAAACACTCATAGTGTGACCTGGGGGTAAGGGGCTTCTCATTGGTGAAAGAGAAAACTGCACAACTCTACCAGACCCTGTGGGACTCATGGGATATGGGTCTAACACATCCTTGGGTGACTCACTTTGCTGTCATTACCTTAGTGGCTACATTTGTGGTTAAGGGATAGTGGCAGAGAGGTCCACTATCCCTGTGGATGACACCTGGGGTACAGGACTGGGGAACATAGGCTGAGAAAGTGGGGCAAGTGATGAAGTGTGAAGTAGTTTCTGGATGATGGCCTACACATGATAAATCTGCTTCTGGAAGAGACAGATGTCAGCCTCTGTCTGTGAGACCCTCCTTCACAGGAATGTTCACAGACCATAGAGGACACTATTTGTTGACTGAGAATGTAAACGAAGGTATAATGTCTGTGTAATTGGATCACATGCAGGAAGCTTAGAATAAACTACAAACATTTAGATGCCTGCAGATGAGATGGGGAAAATTGGCATGTGTGTAGGAGAAGCTACAGAAAATGGCTGGTGATTTTCCAGGCTCAGAGAAAGACAGGAAGCTTGGATTTAAAGTACATCTCTAAAACTGAATGGGAAAAAGGAAAAGTTTGCCTTAGCTGTGTCAAAATACATAAGCAGCATTTCCAGTCCAAGAACATCACAGCACTCAACTCAAGAGACAAGGCACTTGAAGAAATAGCATGTGTCTTCTCTGCACCATGAGTTCACGTCAGAAGGTGGAGAACCTGCAGCTGACTTGGAAAACAGGTCACAGATGCAGAAATTCGACTGAGGGAGGGGTGGAGGGTTTTCTAACATCCTTACATCCCACACTACAGGATAGCAACAGCAGAAGGTCCAGAGGGGACGGGGGAACACACCAGGAAAACAGTGAGGAACATGGGATTTACAGAGCTGGACTACTGGGGACTGCTTGGAAAGGAGGATGTTTTTGTTTCTTTTTAAAGGTCACAAAAGTCACACAAAAACTGCAGAAAAGGTCAAAGGACATGCTGCAATTGGTGCATGTGACAGGGAGGCTGATACACCAAGGGATTCGTAGACTCTGGCCAGAAGTTTATAATTTAATGTGTTCAAAAGGTGGTACACCTGTACTGTCAGGAGGTGTGATAGAGGAGGAGGGGCCCATGTCTGGGAATATAGCTACATTGGTAGAGTGCTTGCCTAGCATGCATGAGGTCTTGGGTTCAGTCCCCATTACTGCATGAACCAGGCAGAGCTGATTGAGCCTGTAATCCCTGCAGGGAGAGGCAGGGGGATCAGAAATTCAAGGTCATTTTCAGCCACAGAGGCCAGCCTGAGCTAAAGATCTTATCTTCTTTTTTAAGTTTTAATCTAAAGTAGTAATAAAATATACAAGAAATTTGGGGATAAATCTTTCAAAAGGTGTATGTTACCATTGAGTGAGAAAAAAAATGCTGCAATATTACTGAAGATTTAATCAGGAAATTTGAGTTCATGGGGGGACAAAAAAGGTCTAATCTATAATATATTGTTTCTCCTTGAATTTATAAGCTCACAGCTATTCTAATAAAGAAATCTGCCAGTGTTTTCATGGGATTTGGCAAAAGGAACTTCAGATTCATTAGAGGCCAAGAGGCCAGGAATGGCCTTTGACGATTTGAGTGAGGAGAGGCTGGGGAGATGGTTCAGTGGATAAGAGCATGTGCTGTCCTAGCAGAGAACTGGGATTTGGTTCCCAGCACACATATAGCAGCTCACAGCCTTCTCTTTAGCTTTAATTCCAGGGGATCCAGTGACCTCTTCTGGCTTCTTAGGGCACATGGTGCAAATACAAACCACTCACACATGTAACAATAAGTCTTTCCGCCACAGCCACCCAAGCCCTGCCGCCACGTGGGCACTTATTGCCAGGCCGCCCGAGTTCAGCCAGCTACCACGTTAAGGTCCCAAGTAACACATAGAGACATATATTAGGTACAAATGCTGCTTGGCCAAAGACTAGGATTTCTTATATGTTAGCTCAGTCTTAATTATCATCCATAATCATATGGACTTATCTTATGGTAGACGAAGGCCTTGTGTTTTACCTTTCTGGTGGTTACATGGTGACTTCACAAAGAGGAAGAGTGAGAGAGAGCAACTTCCTTCTTGTCCTTGCTTATATGAGTCTGCCTGCTATGTCACTTCCTGCCTGTATCACAAGACTTCTTTTTATTACATTTCCCAGAAGCCTCCTTGACCCCTAGTCCCACCTAACTTGCTGCCTCATTGGCCAAACAGTACTATATTCAACAATCAATAAGATAAACATACACAGAAGGACCTCCCCATCACACACACATAAAGTAAACATAATAAATAAATTTAAAAAAATACAGAGTGGGGCTGGAGAGATGGCTCAGAGGTTAAGAGCACTGGCTGCTCTTCCAGAGATCTGAGTTCAATTCCCAGCAACCACATGGTGGCTCATAACCATCCTTTAGGAGATCTGGTGCCCTCTTCTGATGTGCAGATATACATGGAAGCAGAATGTTGTATGCATAATTAATAAAAAATCTTTAAAAACAAAACAAAACATAATTTAAAAAAATACAGAGTGAAGGAACCCTCCAGGTAATAGGATTTTCCATGGCTGTGACAAGTTAGTAAATAGAGCCTGGCCACAAGCACCTGTAGGACTGAACAGGCAGCCCAGGTGCTGCAAGTTCATGGGAGGAACTAGGGTGTCACTGGTGAGAACAGCTGCCCTGCTGGAAAGAATAAAACCAGAGCCCTTATGCCACCTCTGGAAAAAGTGAGTTCTGCATGGGTGAACAGCAGCACATGAGGGCAGAGCTTAGAACTGCTGAAGGAAAGAGAGGGTTATCCCATGACCTTAAGGTACAATCCCGGTAAAAAAACACCAACCCCCAAAGAAAACACCAATAGTCGTGAGCACAGTAAACTTAGTTTTCTTTTAAGACTTTAAAACAGAAGCTAGGCATGGTGGCTCACGCCTTTAATCCAGCAATTGAGAGGCAGAGGCAGGAAGATCTCTGTGTATTAGAGACCAGCCTAATCTACAGAGTGAGTTCCAGGACAGCTAGAGCTGTTATATAGAGAAACCCTACCTCAAAATAGATAGATAGATAGATAGATAGATAGATAGATAGATAGATAGATAGATGAGCATAGGCCAGAGAAAGACTTTGTCTCACTCCATAAAGTACAGGTTGTTTTAGTTACCCTCCTTGTTGCCATGGTATCAATAACCCTGACAAAAGCAACTCAGGCAAGGAAGGGTTTATCTTTGCTCATGGTTTCAGGGGTTCCAGTCACAGTAGCTAGTTGTGTCCACAGTAAGGAAGAGAGTGCAGTGGATGGGGCTGCTCAGTCCCCTTTGCCCTGTTTTCAGTGTAGGACCCAACCAGAGAAACACTTGTGCTCACATTTGGGGTCACATCCTGCCTCCACTTTATCAAGATACTCTTTCCCAGGCGTGCCAAGAGGCTAGCCTCATCTAAATAGTTTCCTGAGAGGTGTGCCTAGCAACTTGTTTCTCAGTGGCACTAGACCCTGTCAAGTTGACGATGTTAAACCACCACTGGGCTCAGAGCAAGAGCTTCTGCAAGTCCGTGTAAATAACTACCCATGGGAAAATCAGCAGAACACACCTTGTGGGAGAAGATACCCGCATGAATAATTACAAAGATTTCGTTTCTTGTGAGCACCCTAGAACACAATCTAATACCACCATGATGCTGTTTCTACTTTTGAGTGGAGGAGGAGATGCCCCTCTGCTCTTGTTTTATTTTGTTTTGAGATGTCATCTTAAAATGTAGCACAGGCTGCCCTCAGACTCTCAGTCTTCCTGCTTCAACCTCCCAAACATTGACATTAACCAGCATTGACGGAATGTTGAATCTCAAGAGCCACTGCACTCTCAGTGGAACAATAAGTGGATCCAGCCTCTTTGGAGAATGATTTCAAAACAGAAAATTCTCTTTATAATTCTATGCCCCAAAAAGGTCTTATAAAAGAATATTAAAGACAGCATTACTTTCAGTAACCAAAAGTATCTAATAACATAAGTATTTAGTAATAGAACAGACCATGCCATGGGTGGCATATTCACAGGAATACTATGAATCCAATCTGAGCTAATCTCAGGATTAGAGGAGAAACAGTGATGCAGAACCTGTGTTGCTACATTGTAAAGTTTGAAAGCATGAAGGTTTACACTAGCAGCCCAAAGAGACAATGATAAACCTGGTGTGGTGTGGGATGGCTCTTCAGAGAGGGGAGGGCTTATGACAACAGCAATAGCTTGGATGCTGGCAGTGGATGCCACTGTGCATCATGTGGCACTCTGCTTTTCCCTATCCGCAGGGTTTTGCAATTGCTTGTAAGAACAAAAGGTAACCACTAAGGTGGAAATGCAACCTATAGTTCTGCTTTACTGCTGTGTTTAGGAAGAGCCCCTTCCTGTGGCAGAACATGCCAGCCGAGGGGGAGGTGGAGGGGGAGGGGAAGGGAGGGGAGGGGAGGGGGTTTTTCTTGTTGCATGCA